GTAACAGTCACTACACAACACTGTAGTAACATTCACTACACAACACTGTAGTAACATTCAGTACACAACACTGTAGTAACATTCAGTACACAACACTGTAGTAACATTCACCACACAACACTGTAGTAACATTCACTACACAACACTGTAGTAACATTCACTTCACAACACTGTAGTAACATTCACTACACAACACTGTAGTAACATTCAGTACACAACACTGTAGTAACAGTCACTACACAACACTGTAGTAACATTCACAACACAACACTGGTAAAAATCACTGCACAACACTAGTAACAGTCACTACACAACACTAGTAAGTCACTACCCAACATTGTAGTAACAGTCACTACACAACACTAGTAACAGCCACTACACAACACTGTAGTAACATTCACAACACAACGCTGTTGTAACAGTCACTACACAACGCTAGTAACAGTCACTACACAACACTAGTAACAGTCACTACACAACACTAATAACAGTCACTACACAACACTAGTAACAGTCACTACACAACACTAGTAACAGTCACTACACAACGATGTAGTAGCCTGCCGTATACAACGTTGTTCTAACCTTCAAAGTTATTCTAGCGTAACTTATTTTCACTAACACAAACTATACATTCCACAGTTATCAGGCGTTTCTGTACTGTATCATAACTTCACAAAAGTCTTGATATTTCATCTTATTGGACGGTCGGAATATTTACAAGCACCTTCAACATTATTCTAGGGTAACTAATTTTCACTAAAACAAACTATTTAACTAACGTTATTAGGTATTACTGTACTGTATCATAACTTTGTAACTTAAGCTACACAAGTCTTGAATAAATTTTCGTCTGTTTGAATAATTGAAATATCTTCATCGGCGATGATCCCAGACATCATGGATAACGAACAAGTCTTTGATAAACGTTCTCCAGAGGAAATTCGAAGAGAACTGGATTTCTATATAGCTGAGTTCGTAAAATACGCTGAGACCCACCCTAGACCTAAATCTAATTTAAAATTTAGCGAGGCAATGAAGATGTACGAGGGCAGTGTTCTCCCTTCCTTACAGGAGATGTTGAACACTGTTCCAGAAAACTCAGAAAAATTGAAGGATAAGATAAGCCTCTTGAACAAGAAGATGCTTATTGTTCAGAATACCTTGGACAACCACCAACTACAAAATAACAATTTGGGCTTGAGAACCGTCGCCATCCGTGAAGATAGTGATGCTGTATTCCTAAAGGAACAAATTTGCGCCCAAAAGGAGAAGATTGCCACCCTGCGGGGAAAGATTCACTCCGCTGGTATGAAAACTTTTGCTGGCGAAGGAGTGACCTGGACAAGTGTTGACAACCCTCGGGTTAAGACCCGTCTTCCAACTAAAACTGACCCAGTTCTTGGGCTCGTTGATGCCAGAAGGTTGGCAGCTGAAAATTGTAGGAAGGCCTTACGCAAGTTTAAGTAAGTGTGAAAAGGTACTTGTCAATGAATATTAATTTTCAGTTTATTTTGTGTTTGATTCTTTTTTATTTTGGATTACTCGTCTTACCAGTGAGGAATTATGTTTTTCTTTTACATTACAAAGCTGGCTTGAATATATATATATATATATATATATATATATATATATATATATATATATATATATATATATATATATATATATATATATATATATATATATATATATATATATATATATATATTATATATAAAATATAGGGGGTGGTAGGAGAAGAAAATATTTCAACAGCTCCGGGGAGAACCTTGAGTTTTCCCTGAGGTACGTTTATTGTCTTCTCTGAGGATGAGGGTCCCCAATAAAGTTATAGAGGTGGTACCTCCCTATATTTTTATAATATATAAGCCACTGTACGGGTGGTGTTCGAACTCATGGCAAGTGAGTCGTAAGGCACTTATTCAAAGTCTAGAGCCACCCGCCTGAAGAATGGGAGGTAATCTGGCTCGAACCAAGGAAGGACAAGTCAATTTCCTCGAAATAAGAACACCACCAGCATTAAGAAACCTCCCTTCAATGGACACGTACGCAGTAAAACATTTGGGTGAAATATTTAATTTGTTAAGGGATTGAACTATTTTAGTTTTTTAAATGGAATACGTCATTGTTATTTCATGGTATAAGTGAAGCATAATACGATTTAGGATTTAATTAAAATATATGCGTATGTTCAAATATTTACCAATCATGTAACAATAAATTCAACAAATAATGATAAATACATCAAAAGAAAGTTAACACTGTTTAGTTAATATTTATATATAATACAGGGACATATGACATGGAAATCATCAACATTCTGAGTGACTAGTACATGAATTCAGTATTTTTATATTACAGTATATACACTGTAGTAATATTCACTACAACGCTGTAGTAACACTCACTACAGAACACTGTAGTAACAGTCCCTACACAACACTATAGTAACAGTCCCTACACAACACTATAGTAAGTCACTACACAACACTATAGTAAGTCACTACACAACACTGTAGTAACATTCACTACAGAACACTGTAGTAACAGTCCCTACACAACACTATAGTAAGTCACTACACAACACTATAGTAACAGTCCCTACACAACACTGTAGTAACAGTCACTATGCAACACTGTAGTAACAGTCACTACACAACACTAGTAAGTCACTACACAACACTAGTAACAGTCACTACACAACACTAGTAACAGTCACTACACAACACTAGTAACAGCCACTACACAACACTAGCAACAGTCACTACACAACACTGTAGTAACAGTCAATGCACAACACTAGTAACAGTCACTGCACAACAGTTTACCTGGAGTTTACCTGGAGAGAGTTTCGGGGGTCAACGCCCCCGCGACCCGGTCTGTGACAGTCACTACACAACACTACACTAGTAACAGTCACTACACAACACTAGTAACAGTCACTACACAACACTAGTAACAGTCACTACACAACACTAGTAACAGTCACTACACAACACTAGTAACAGTCACTACACAACACTAGTAACAGTCACTACACAACACTAGTAACAGTCACTACACAACACTAGTAACAGTCACTACACAACGATGTAGTAGCCTGCCGTATACAACGTTGTTCTAACCTTCAAAGTTATTCTAGCGTAACTTATTTTCACTAACACAAACTATACATTCCACAGTTATCAGGCGTTTCTGTACTGTATCATAACTTCACAAAAGTCTTGATATTTCATCTTATTGGACGGTCGGAATATTTACAAGCACCTTCAACATTATTCTAGGGTAACTAATTTTCACTAAAACAAACTATTTAACTAACGTTATTAGGTATTACTGTACTGTATCATAACTTTGTAACTTAAGCTACACAAGTCTTGAATAAATTTTCGTCTGTTTGAATAATTGAAATATCTTCATCGGCGATGATCCCAGACATCATGGATAACGAACAAGTCTTTGATAAACGTTCTCCAGAGGAAATTCGAAGAGAACTGGATTTCTATATAGCTGAGTTCGTAAAATACGCTGAGACCCACCCTAGACCTAAATCTAATTTAAAATTTAGCGAGGCAATGAAGATGTACGAGGGCAGTGTTCTCCCTTCCTTACAGGAGATGTTGAACACTATTCCAGAAAACTCAGAAAAATTGAAGGATAAGATAAGCCTCTTGAACAAGAAGATGCTTATTGTTCAGAATACCTTGGACAACCACCAACTACAAAATAAAAATTTGGGCTTAAGAACCGTCGCCATACGTGAAGATAGTGATGCTGTATTCCTAAAGGAACAAATTTGCGCCCAAAAGGAGAAGATTGCCACCCTGCGGGGAAAGATTCACTCCGCTGGTATGAAAACTTTTGCTGGCGAAGGAGTGACCTGGACAAGTGTTGACAACCCTCGGGTTAAGACCCGTCTTCCAACTAAAACTGACCCAGTTCTTAGGCTCGTTGATGCCAGAAGGTTGGCAGCTGAAAATTGTAGGAAGGCCTTACGCAAGTTTAAGTAAGTGTGAAAAGGTAATTCTCAATGAATATTAATTTTCAGTTTATTTTGTGTTTGATTCTTTTTTATTTTGGATCACTCGTCTTACCAGTGAGGAATTATGTTTTTCTTTTACATTACAAAGCTGGCTTGAATATGTATGTATATATATATATATATATATATATATATATATAATATATATATATATATATATATATATATATATATATATATATATATATATATATATATATATATATGCAAAACAACCGCTCTGAAAGAATAGAGAAATTCCAAGCGCTTTCGTGACTACTCACATTATCAAGGAACATAGTTCCTTGATAATGTGAGTAGTCACGAAAGCGCTTGGAATTTCTCTATTCTTTCAGAGTGGTTGTTTTGCATATTCTGAAATCACCTGTTTACTGTGATCTTATTGCATATATATATATATATATATATATATATATATATATATATATATATATATATATATATATATATATATATATATATATATATATATATATATATATACAAAATATAGGGGGTGGTAGGAGAAGAAAATATTTCAACAGCTCCGGGGAGAACCTTGAGTTTTCCCTGAGGTACGTTTATTGTCTTCTCTGAGGATGAGGGTCCCCAATAAAGTTATAGAGGTGGTACCTCCCTATATTTTTATAATATATAAGCCACTGTACGGGTGGTGTTCGAACTCATGGCAAGTGAGTCGCAAGGCACTTATTCAAAGTCTAGAGCCACCCGCCTGAAGAATGGGAGGTAATCTGGCTCGAACCAAGGAAGGACAAGTCAATTTCCTCGGAACAAGAACACCACCAGCATTAAGAAACCTCCCTTCAATGGACACGTACGCAGTAAAACATTTGGGTGAAATATTAAATTTGTTAAGGGATTGAACTATTTTAGTTTTTTAAATGAAATACGTCATTGTTATTTCATGGTATAAGTGAAGCATAATACGATTTAGGATTTAATTAAAATATATGCGTATGTTCAAATATTTACCAATCATGTAACAATAAATACAACAAATAATAATAAATACATCAAAAGAAAGTTAACACTGTTTATTTAATATTTATATATAATACAGGGACATATGACATGGAAACCATTAACATTCTGAGTGATTAATACATGAATTCAATATTTTTATATTACAGTATATACACTGTATACATATGTACAAATGTATATTCAGTATTCACAGTTCAACATTTTACGAAGAACTGAGGTCAGAAATACTGAGCTGCATAATTGTAAATGCAACAGAAGAGGCTGGGAATAATCCATATTGAACAAATATATTTGAAACATCAGGAAGCGGTGAAAATTCAACAGAGAGAAAGATAGACTTTTACAAAGATAAAAAGTTGTGGATTCATTATATATGAAATATAATAATATTTTAAGTCTGGCTTAGTTACAGTATGGCTACCAACCTCGAAGATTAATATCACAAAACCATTGTGTTGCAATAATTAAGACAACCAAAATAAGTCATAGTTTGCTTTCCAATTTGTGTGCTGTCTGATTTAATTAGTGATAGCAAAAGTACGAAAATTTAAAAAAAAAATTTCTTAATATTCCATTGGGAATAACTTTGTAAATTATTTCTTAATTTTTAAAAAGTATTTAAAGGTAGTGTGTATTTATGTCGCAAACGAAAAATCATACCGAGATTGCTGTAGATGAAGATTTAACCCTGATATTTGGACGGGATTAATTACTGTGTACACTAAACAACGGCTGCCTTTATAAAACTTAAATTATACTGTATGGGTTATTCGCTGTCGAGTAAAACTTAAAACTCAATACTTTGACATGTGACATAAAAGCCATCGTGGCCTCTTACGTCATTAATAACACATAAGTTGATATTATTAAACTGGATGGTGCCAAATTCATAATCCAAATAATCACTGTAGAGTGAAGAATTGATGTACTTTGATCGACGTTCTCGAGCTGTTGGTCTGTTCACCTTAAGTAATGTCATGTGGGGTACGAAGTCAAAGTTATTGGTGACTGTGATACCATTGATGTTGTGCACAGCCTCGTACAACATGTCCACGATGGTAGTGAAGGAAGAAGGAACTTCAAGTTTGGTATACAACACTCTGGCGCCGAAAGTGGACAATCCTCGAGCCTTGATGACACGATCTGCGCTCACGTCGCTTTCTTCTGACTCTCCAAAAAGATCCTTGATTTTAATGTGCAAATTTCGCAACATATCGATTATATCAGACATGGCTTCTGGAGTTTCAATTTTAATCATTGCTAGAGTGACATGTAGGAGGTCACTAGGCATAGTACAGCTGCGGAGGACAGGTTCCTCCTGCACTACATGTTCCTGCACTTTCGATATTCTTGCTTTAATTTCGGCGCTTTTTATCCTAATGCAGAAAAAGTGTGTGGCACGGAGCAGTTCCCTCTGTGTTTCTCTAGAACGAATATTCAATATTATTCCTTTGTTTGAGACTGATTCTCCTCCTACCACCACCAGTTCATCGTCAGAATCAGAGTCATCGTCAGGGTCGAAACTCGCCGTATTTTTCTCTATTTCTGCATCAGTTTCTCGAATAATTTGTTGAATAGTGATGTCACTACCTGCACTGCCGAACACACAATCAAGCCGCTCATTCTTGTCCCAAACTTTGGTACCCTTGTACTTATAATACTGGATCCGGTGTTGTGGCACCGCCAGCTGCTCCAGGTCCACCATGCTTAAATGTTCCCAGGAAAATGAAGTGAAAGGTTTCTCCACAACACCACTGAACCTGTCTAAATATCCAACTGTGAAGTATTCCTTTCGAAGCTCTGGGTCCCATTGAATTCTCTTCCTTACATCTCCTGCTGTCTTCATGGATGGTTTCTTTTCCTCTGTCTTCTCTTCAGGTGGTACTTTTCTCCGTGTCATTTTATTTTGATTTTTATCCTTCTTCAAGTCAGCATCTTGCACTATGACGTTAGCAGGGTGTAAATTGAAGCAATCTTCACCAAATCTACACTTTCCTTCCAAATAATAAGAGCACACAGTCTTCATAACCGGTGTACAGTCGTTACTTGTGTCAGGTAGTTCTCGTTCTGCCTCTTTGTCTGACTCCATGTTATGTTCTGGTTGGCCCTGCTTAATAAGCACACCTGAACCTTGTAAAGACATTTTGCTTGAACGAGTTGCAATAGCCGTGTCTTCAGTAGACTCCAGGACTGCCAGTTGCAGTCACAGAAGACAGTATGTCAGACCGTGAGGTCTGTGTGCACTGCGAGACTCAACCCGCCTGTGTTATATAGATAAGCGTCAGGACTCGGCTGAACAACGTTGTGCAATCACTAGTGTATACACAAATAACGTATACGCTTGTCTATAACGTTTAGTATGTAAGTATTTTAACACTATATTGTTAAAATGTTTACAGTACTTGAATATCAGATGAAAAAGCTTCACTAAATGAACAATTAAGTCAATGAAATCAATGTACTCAGAGAGAACGGGATTGCAAAATCTTCTAGTCATGGGAAACTTAAAACATATTCCCGTTTTTATTCCTTTTGCTCTGTTGGCTGTTGCATCATGTTTGTAAGCTCACACCCATGAATTTACACATTTTTTTTATAACGGGAAGGAGATGAAAACATTCAAACAGTAACCACATTAAGGTGCATTGACAATTAACTAACTACATTTTGTATGAATGTATATGAGCTAACATGATGCAATCGTCAACAACTACATGTACTTGATTATTGTGCAAGACTTTTTAGACTTTTCACTCGAACACTATACTCAAAAGACTGAAAAAAATATATGTCTATTAGCTGCACTGAAAGCATAAATAACTTTTTTTTTTTTGATGAAGAGAAATGCTATTTTTTTTCTTTTTGTATTTTATTGATAACATCACTATTACATTTGGATAAAGATGGGACGATATATTACATGTTATGTAAGAGCCTGTAAATTACAAGATGTGAACGGAAACATTGGGAATGTTTCCTTACACCTAATGAGTGTGACACATATGCAACACCTGGGTATCTTGACTGAGAAAAGCTAGGTATCCAGGATACATGGCTTTTCTCATTTAGGGTGTGCTAAAGGTGTAATATACTTGATCAGATTAAGGAGGGAGGAGAGTACAACAGAGGTATAATAAGGGCGGTGAGGAGTGCTAAGGAAGTATACCTGGAGAGGATTTCGGGGGTCAACGTCCCCGCGGCCCGGTCTCTGACCAGGCCTCATGGTGGATCAATGCTTGATCAACCAGGCTGTTACTGTTGGCTTATAAAGGCTGAGATGTCACCTCACCTACGGTATTACACCCGTCGCAAGATGATGGTGCAGGTGGGAAATGTCAAAGAATCTTGTAGACACAGCCATCAGCATTTTGGAGAGAATTTTTAATCAGTGTCTTTTACGATATCAAGATCCATCACTAGCGCACTCAGCACACACACTGAGGTCCGTGGAAGTTAACAAATGTAACACATTTAAACAGATTACCCAGCAGGTGTTCATATTATTTTGTCCAACCCCTGTATATATATAAGGAGGCCTGGTCACAGACCTGGCCGCGGGGGCGTTGACCCCCGGAACTCTCTCCAGGTAAACTCCAGGTATATATGTACGTGTACTCACCTATTTGTGGTTGCAGGGGTCGAGTGTGTGTGTGTGTGTACTCACCTATTTTGTGGTTGCAGGGGTCGAGACATAGCTCCTGGCCCGCCTCTTCACTGATCGCTGCTAGGTCCTCTCTCTCCTTGTTCCATGAGCTTTATCATACCTCGTCTTAAAACTATGTATGGTTCCTGCCTCACTACATCACTTGCCAGACTATTCCACTTCCTGAAAACTCTATGGCTAAAGAAATACTTCCTAACATCTCTTTGACTTATCTGAGTTTTCAGCTTCCATTATTATTATCAAAAAGAAGCGCTAAGCCACAAGGGCTATACAGCATTTCAGCTTCCAATTGTGACCCATTGGTCTGTGTCCCATCTCTGGAACATCCTCTCTGTCCACCTTGTAAATTCCTCGCAGTATTTTGTATGTCGTTATTATGTCTCCCATAATCCACCTGTCCTCCAGTTTCGTCAGGCCCATTTCCCTTAACATTTCTTCGTAGGACATTGCACCAAGGATAGTTCCTCTGGAACTATCCTTGGTGCAAACCTTTGCACTTCCTCTAATTTCTTGACGTGCTTGACCAGGTGTGGGTTCCAAACTGGTGCTCCATACTCCAGTATGGGCTTGACGTACACGGTGTAGTCTTAAACGATTCCTTATTGAGGCATCGGAACGCTATTCTCAGGTTTGCTAGGCGCCCATATGCTGAAGCAGTTATTTGGTTGATGTGCGCCTCAGATGTGCTCAGTATTATACTCACCACGAGATCCTTTTCCTTGAATGAGGTTTGCAGTCTTTGGCCACCTAGCCTGTACTCTGAGGTCTTCTTTGCCGTGTGTGTGTGTGTACAATCACCTGTTTGTGGTTGCAGGGGGTTGAGTCATAGCTCCTGGCCCCACCTCTTCACTGATCGCTACTAGGTCCTCTCTCCCCCTGCTCCATGAGCTTTATCAAACTTCGTCCTAAAATTATGTATGGTTCCTGCCTACACTACGTCACTTTCTAGGATATTCCACTCCCTGACACCTCTGTGACTGAAGAAATACATACTTCCTAACATCCCTTTGACTCATCGGAGTATCCGAGTCTTCAACTTCCAATTGTGACCCCTTGTTTCTGTGTCCCATCTCTGGAACATCCTATCTTTGTCAGTTCCTCGCAGTATTTTATATATCGTTCATGTCTAACCTAACCCTTCTGTCCTCCAGTGTCGTACCCCTGTGTGTGTGTGTGGTTGCAGGGGTCGAGACTCAGCGCCTGGCCCTGCCTCTTCATTGACCGCTACTGGGTCCTCCAAGTGGCGTGTGGAGTGTGTGCGTGTGGTGTGGTGCGTGTGTGTGGTGGTGTGGTGGTGTGGTGTGGGGTGGTGTGGGGTGGTGTGGGGTGGTGTGGGGTGGTGTGGGGTGGTGGTGGTGTGGTGAGGTGTGCGTCTGTGTGTACTCACCTAGTTGAGGTTGCAGGAGTCGAGTCAAAGCTCCTGGCCCCGCCTCTTCACTGATCGCTACTAGGTCACTCTCCCTGAACCGTGAGCTTTATCATATCTCTGCTTAAAGCTATGTATGGATCCTGCCTCCACTACATCGAAGTGTGAATTGCTCATTACTCTAAAATTTGTTCATGATTGTAGCCATGTATAAACGTAAGTAACCATTCTTACAGTATTCATTACCTTTGTAACTTGCGAGTTCATTACCTTGTACCTAGTTCAGCCATCAAAACTTTGGGGCCCAGTCCCTGGATCCATTACGTACCTCTGTAATCTGTAAATACCTTTGTAACTTGTCATGATTGTGACTAGACCTACCTGGAGTTCATTACCTTTGTAAATTGTGAGTTCATTACCTTTGTAAATTGTGAATTCATTACCTCTGTAACTTGCTCAGCTATCAAAACTTTGAGGCCCAGTCCCTGGACCCATTATGTACCTCTGTAATCTTTTGACTACCGCCCACAGGATGGGTATGGGGTGCATAATAAACATATTAAACTAACACTACATTGCTTCCCAAACTATTCCACTCCTGACTACTCTGTGGCTGAAGAAATACTTCTTAACATCCTTGTGATTCATCTGTCTTCAACTTCCAACTGTGTCCCCTTGTTGCTGTGTCCCATCTCTGGAACATCCTGTCTTTGTCCACCTTGTCAATTCCTCTCAGTATTTTGTATGTCGTTATCATGTCCCCCCTATCTCTCCTGTCTTCCAGTGTCATCAGGTTGATTTCCCTTAACCTCTCCTCGTAGGACATACCTCTTAGCTCTGGGACTAGTCTTGTTGCAAACCTTTGCACTTTTTCTAGTTTCTTTACGTGCTTGGCTAGTTGTGGGTTCCAAACTGGTGCCGCATACTCCAATATGGGCCTAACGTACACGGTGCACAGGGTCCTGAACGATTCTTTATTAAGATGTTGGAATGCTGTTCTGAGGTTTGCTAGGCGCCCATATGCTGCAGCAGTTATTTGGTTGATGTGCGCTTCAGATGTGCCTGGTGTTATACTCACCCCAAGATCTTTTTCCTTGAGTGAGGTTTGTAGTCTCTGGCCCCCTAGACTGTATTCTGTCTGCAGTCTTCTTTGCCCTTCCCCAATCTTCATGACTTTGCACTTGGTGGGGTTGAACTCCAGTAGCCAATTGCTGGACCAGGTCTGCAGCCTGTCCAGATCCCTTTGTAGTTCTGCCTGGTCTTCAATCGAATGAATTCTTCTCATCAACTTCACGTCATCTGCAAACAGGGACACTTTGGATTCTATTCCTTCCGTCATGTCGTGTGTGTGTGTGTGTGTATGTGTGTGTGTGTGTGTGTGTGTGTGTGTGTGTGTGTGTGTGTGTGTGTGTGTGTGTGTGTGTGTGTGCGCATGTGTGCATGTGTGTGTGTGCATGTGTGCGCGCACGTGTGCATGTGTGTGTGCGCACTAACCTATTTGTACTAGTAAGTTTATTCAGGTATACACAAATATAGTTACACAGATTAACATACACAGCAGCATATGTACTGAGAACCTAGGATAACCCCTATCTGTGGTTGCAGGGGTCAATTCACGGCTCCTGGCCCCTGCCTCTTCACTAATCGCTATTGTGTGTGGAGAGTGTACAAAGAACTTTCACGGTACACATAAGTACGATAAGGCAACTAAACTACTGGGAACGGTTGAAGGTCCTTGATCTGTATTCCCTTGAAAGCAGGCGAGAGAGATACGGCTGTACGTGATAATATACACTTGGAAGATCCTGGAGGGATTGGTACCAAACCTGTACACAAAAATCACTCCCTATGAAAGCAAAAGACTCGGCAGGAGATGCAACATTCCCCCAATGAAAAGCAGGGGTGACACGAGTACACTGACAGACAACACAATAAGTGTCCGGGGCCCAAGACTATTCAATTGCCTCCCAGCTTACATAAGGGGGATTACCAATAGATCCTTGACTGTCTTCAAGAAGACACTGGACAGGCACCTAAAGTCAGTACCTGAAAAACTGGGCTGTGGTTTGTACATCAGCTTGCGTGCGGCCAGCAGTAACAGCCTGGTTGATCAGACCCTGATCCACCATGAGGCTTGGTCTCAGACAGGGCCACAGAGGCGTTGACCCAGGTAAACAGGAAGACATATAAGGATGAGATTACATGTTGCAGCCATGCTTATAACACAACACAGTGTACTGC